CCTCTGTAGATGATGTTCCAATTGAAACCTCCATGAAGTTCATGTAGTTTTCCCATTATATGCCATGATTTCCCCATAGTTTCTATGATTTTTCCCTTCGTTTTTCGCTGGGGATTTCTACCCCTGCGCTTCAAGGAGCAAGAAATTCTGGCGGTCTTCTCGCAGCGGCCTTTGACCGAGCTGGCACCAGGTCGGACGTCTGGTCTGGTGGGGTTTTGAAGGAACAGTGAGGAAGAGGAATATGATGGGATGCTACATGTGGGATATTGTTATATGATATAACTGGGATTTTCTTCAAATAGTAAACTGATAGGATATGCTGTTGCTATGGATATAATGGGATAATAATATATACAGTGTATATATATATATGTCAGAATGGGATGCTTGGGATGATATTAATTAAGCATAAAAACTACTGAAGCTATTGTATGAATACTATTAGATGAATAATATATTCATGAACAATATGAATATTAATAATAATTATCATACTGAAGGTTATTTGTGGATGATTGATGGTTAGTATATGTTCCTGTGAAGCAGTTCTGGGACTGGTTAGTATGAGCGATGACAATCTTGGAAAAGGAGCGGCTCGGAGCTAGGGCTATCCATATTCCCTATAAAAAATGGGGAGCCAAGGAACTAGTATAGTTTCTAGTTCCTATATGCAATAGTACCATAGTATCAATATTACCATAGTATACTATCATGTGCTTGGGGAGCCAAAGAAATGCTTAAAGGCTGTTAAAGGGGAAACTATTAAATGGATTTAAATGGTACCTAGCTAGGAGTTTGCCCAACCACATGATAGTATATGCTGTGGTCCTGATTTTGGAGGATTTTGAAGGATCAATACTTGATCACAACTTCCACTTCTCGGGGTCACAGATGGGTTGAAACGGATGTTTTAGGCGGAGATCTATGATTCAACTTGTCAGTGATACCCATTCCGAAAAGGCCCTTGATTGAATTCAATATTGAAAAGCGTCCTGTGGGAATCCAAGATGAAACGGAACATGCATGATAATTAATTTCTTGTAATTCCTTTTGTGTGTGATTGCAGAGGTGTATATGTAGAATATATACATATACACAAAGATGCAGACATACAGAATCATACAGATATGTAGTTACTTGATATGTCACACAATGTGGGTAAAATTACAATAAACCATCCCCAGTCATCACCATTTTTAGCTCGGTGGTATGAACCATTCCCAGTCATTTGTGTGGTAAAAATGGCATTGTTTTACCTACATTTCTGGCATGTGAGTTTTGCGAGTTTAAAGAATCCATGGCCATCTGAAACGGAGTTGTTTTCAGATGATCATGTCATGATGTGCCTTTAGATGTCCGATTTAAAAAACAACAAGGAACTTCAGATTTTTTGGGTACATCCACAATTCGTTACATAGTACACTATCATACACTATCTATATCAAAATTGTTTGAATATGTATATATATATATACATATATATATATGCTCGCTTCAGGTTTTTTAATTGGCTACACCCCATTCCATCCATTTTCTTTGGATTTCAACGCGACATGCTTTGTCCCTTCCATGCCATGTTTGGTTTTGTGGATTTGTTGTGGGGGCTCCGTTAAACACGATGTCCGCTGTACATTTGAATCATGTGAACTGTTCCGGCCTCGAACAACATCACAATAGATTCAATAGATCATGGTCTCAATTCTTTGTTTGGGATTCATTAATTATACATTTTCCAGAACTATTGGATATAGACATACGGAACATATATGAACATATACCGTACAATAGATAATATGTATATATATATATTTAATTTACGCATATGTGTAGATATGGCCGGAAAGCACTTGTGACCCCCTGGCTGTCAGGAAAAGTGAAGGCGCCAGTGTCACCAGATGAGAAGTTTGTGAAAGGCCGGGGCAGTCTGAGCAGTGGTTAGTCAATGGTTTACATATTTTTCCAAGCAACATCAGGGGTGGTTCACCATTAAAAAAGGGTGTATATAATATTATATAATGGTATATATATAAAATTATATACAATGTTATGCAGTAGTAGAGGCAATTGAACAGCCAACGCAACTAAAAAGCCATGGCCGGCCATCAATGAGACTTTGTGGATCTTATATAAAGATTGCATTCAAAACATCGAGGAGATCATTAATCAAGATCTCATGCACTTTTGACCTGACCCTATCTTAATTCCAAATATAGATCCACTACTTCAAAGCACGGTTTGTTTCTAGTGATCGATTCAATGCGGCATTCATGCTGGACTATTTTAACTATATATATATACACACCTACAGTCACATCGAAGGTTGAATGGTTTGAGCCGTCCAAAAAGTCAAGTTCAATTCACATGTCCAAACGGTGGCTTTGGCGACATGGTGAAAATTGAGCAAATGAATGGTAGGGGATCCACTAATTTCTGCATTTATTTTCAAACAAATGATCTGATGTGGAGTTTCACTTATGAATGGAACATCATGGATGTGCCGATGTTTTTCGATTTTTCATCCATCAAATCTTTGCAGTTGCTACCATCCATAAGTGGAACTGATGTGCAAAAGCATGTGACATGTGATGACCAAAATGCTTGTTGGTGACAGTTGGTGAGGTATGTTACCTGGTTAGTTTGGGGCCTGCACTACCTGCAACGAATTGGCCATCAATTCGTACAATGTTTGTTGGTTTCAGATGTGTGGAGGTGATTTTGTCCATGTAAGTCATTAGGGATGTTGTTTGTCATTTACCATATATATATACACATACACATACACTATATTATATAATATATATATATATAGATTTATTGGTAAAGTTAACTTTCAACTGGATGAAATCCTTGCTAATCCTAGCTACTTAGTGGTAATCCCTTTTGTTTTTGCAGGTCATTCTCGAAGTTTCAAGGTCAGATGAACACTGTCGTTCACATGGTTTCTTCCGGACGTCCAAGCATCCGTGGTTTGAGTATGTTCTTCACTTGAAAAACCAACATGTCCCATTATGATTGCTTTAAATATGGGGAATGTATTGGAATATGTCATTCTCAGACACAGCCGGTAGCTTCATTCAAGCCTATATAGTTATTGTTAAACATGTTAAACCCTATCAAACTTCCAGCAAGCGTCTAGACCCTCTTAACCCCCTCTGAACACTGGTAAACACCATTAATATCCATTAATGAATCTCATTGTGCCCCATCCATATCCCCATATCCAATCCTTATGGGTCATGTCATGTCCCTTTTTTCCCAGATCGTGGCTTACAAACGCGCGTGAGGACGTTTGTATGTGGAGGCCATCGAAGGTGATCACAAGGAGAGCTCTGGGCTGGTGGAGCAAAGTTCCCGGAGTGGATTTTGGCAAGACCTTCTGAAGGAGTAGAAAGGGCCCCTCATGATGTTTTTGTCCACCATTATCTACCCTCCGGTAAACTAACGTAACTATGGAAAATCAGCATTTTTTATGGGTAAATCCACTATAAATGGGCCATGTTCATCCATTTTCAATAGCGAACTGTTAGTTTACCAGGCCGGGTATCAGGTAGAATTCCCAGAGGATATCCCGCAGACATTGGCCAATTGGCTATGCAAGTAGTGCCTGTCATCCTTGATGTGTGATAGATGGAAAGCATGATTTCTTCATCAGAATTGATGTTGGATTTGTGATGATGTTACCCTCTGGTAAACTAACATTTCGCTATTGAAAATGGCCATTTATAGTGAGTTTTCCCATTAAAACATGTGATTTTCCATCGTTTTTTGTATGTTTACCAGAGGGTAACTCCAGATTGACATAGATGTTTGTTTCATATCGATGCCAATTTGCTGGAGGGTACATACACTTGGCAAACTGGTGAAGATGGTTGCTTGACATCAAGATGAAGTTTAAAAAACACCAACCAAACTGTCACCGTATACCCATCAAAGGATAAGGTTGCTTCAAGTATCAAAGAACACACTTAATTAATTTCCACATCAAAAGAAGAGAAAAACAGCAAGATTGGAAGGACAATCAGCAACAATGATAGTTTAATCAGGCAAATATGGAGCAACTGACCGTTTAGGTGAGGACATTCTTTTCCAACCAGACAGAGGTTTTTGTTTCGCAACCTGAAGTCGGAGGCTTACCATTTGGATCCATTTGGTACTTTGACATATCTGTGGAAATTCACCGACATGATCTGTAACTCATCTATGTTCATAGCAAACTCTTGAATCGCCTGAGGTTCATCTAATGTTTGATAGTCATAGCTGATTGGTGGTTTGGAACATGAATGGATTATTTTTCCCATTATAAATGGAGGTTTTAATGGGAAAATCATCTGTAAACATGTTGAAGATAATGACCTGGTTGGTTTGGAACATGAATGGATTATGACTTTCCATTCAGTTGGGAATGTCATCATCCCAACTGACTTTCACTCCATCATTTTTCAGAGGGGTAGGTTGAAACCACCAACCAGATAGGATCATCTCTCGCTGTGGGGTCTTAATGTGCAGGGGAAAATCCTTTTTGCTGATAAAGCCAAATTGTGCGCCTGATGTTGCATCCTCATCCTGGCGAACTTGCTAAGGGACCTTGAATTCCTCGGTGTTGCCAACCGTATCCGCTTCCACAAGTGATCGCCATGAAGTCAATGAAAACTTGTTGGCGCACACGGAGCTGAAACATGCAACTGGTTGGAGAATCTACTCGACTTGGAAACTGCCCGCTTGATTTGTTCCAAAGAGTCAGGGCTTCACCAACAAAGCCTAGCAGAGGCTCTGAGCTCTTGGTTCCATGAGGAGTTGGCTGAGAAATGACCTGTCAAGATTCGCATGGCACCTGCATTAGCTGCGCAAGGATGACATAACACATTTGGTGCTACTTTGGCTATGACCTGTCAAAGCGAGAGGTGAGAGGTAAAAAAAAAAAGGCGGCCAATGGTTAGGCCAAAGTCTGCATGTGCAAGCCACTCATTCTCATTTGACAAAGCACACATTTTTTTTCAGACATGAGTGAAGCTTCAAGTGCACTTGTGCCAGGCGTTGAGATGACGCTGATGATTTTTGCGGAAAAAATTGGAAAACTGCTGAAACATCCAGATTTGACTAATACTTTTCAACGGGGTCCTTTGCACCAACCAGATCTAATGTTGGATTATCTAATACTCATCACATATTTATATATGTTCATAGCAGACTGTTCATAATACCTTATCGATATGTTCTCATCAAGTCTGCGATTCGCTACAAGCCATTGCCCCCATTTGCGGACAGCGCAGATCCCTCAGCCACAAATGAAGGGTCTATGCCGAACGGTGAAAGTATAGTTGTTCGGCAAAGATGCTGCCAGTGGGGATCTAGCATTAGACATGTACAGTTGTACATACATAAATGGGACACAATAGGAAACAATGGATGATATACATGAATCTTACATGTGATTGCAATGGGACATAGCTTCAGATAGTCTGTGATGATTTGACAAACCAAGTCAGCCACTATTTATCGAAGATATTCGCCCGCCGCAGTTCCCACCCTCTTCGCCATGCGGCTTTCCTTTCGTGGCAGGACGTGGTGAAGCAGCTCCACACCTGTCACTTCTACGTGGTCTTGGATACCAGCTGCGGCAACACCATCGTTACGGAGAAGCTGGCGGATGGTAGTACCACCTGGGTTTCTTGGAGTTTCGACGATGTTCTTTTAATGGGAAAATATGGAAATAATCCCAACCTGGAGGTTTATACCTCGAGATTGTGGATTATACATGATAGTGGACCTTATTAGTTCGTTGATTTACGTATTAAAAGTGGCGATGTTTCATAGTTATGTAAAGGTTTACCAGAGGGTATATCCCAATCAAATCCCATTAAACCCTATTATTTCCATTTATTTCCTATCATTATAAGTTTTAAGTCCCACTGTAAATCTGTAAATGAGGATTTAGCTAAACCATCTTTAAACATTTTAAATCCCATGAAGAATCACCATTAAAATCCATTAACATCATGAAAATCCCATGAAAAAATCACCTTTTTTAACAGTGAACCAGGCCGCATGTCGTAAAGTGGGGGTTATTTTTACCACCCAGTTCTGATGAAATCGGATGGTTCATTACTTTTTTGGGCCACATTATGGGGCGTTCAGGGCTTCCAGTAGATGTTCCCATATTACCCTCTGGTAAACAATAGATACAGCTATTGAACATGGCCATAGAAATCATTGATTTGCCCATTAAAACATGGTGATGTTCCATAGTTTTTTAAGTGAGGGTACCCATTTTCCACTATTACAAGATAGTACAACATTAGTTAAAATATGGTTTGTCCTATATTTTCCAGTAGATTTATTGGCTTTTCCATGGTTTTCCGATGTGAAAATGAGTGATCCAGATGTCTATTCTGCAGTAATCCAAGCTGTGAAAGACCCCCTTGGGAAACCTTGGGTTTCCCTAGGAAATGATCTTCAACGGAACGTTGGGAACGTGACCTCTCTAAAAATTGTACTGGTTCAGTCGTTGGTGTTCATATATATATATTATTTATTTATGTATAATATAAATAATATTATATATATATGTATATATTTGTGTATACATATATATACATATACATACACGTATCATATGTATATATATATATATATTATATACATATCTATAAATCCATTCCACCCCATCTCCCTTGCGAGTGTGGGCACCTGAGGTGGTCAACCCCAACTGCCTGGAGGACCGCAATTCCTTGGCCAAGTTGATGGTAGCTCGGTGGAATCGCGACGTTGAACTCGGTGAGTTGGGTTGTTGTTGTTGTTGTTGCTGTTGTTGCTGTTGTTGCTGTTGTTGCTGTTGTTGTTGTTGTTGTTGTTGTTTATTTATGATAATTAACTATCTAAGTAACTAGACTTAACTGTCGGGTTAGTTATAGTAGATAACTATCTAAGTTTTATAAGTAACTATAAGTAAACGTCAACTGGTTTCTATCTAAATATTGGCAGGGTGTTGGGTTACTAATAATATGTTTATAATATAGCTAACTATCTATAAGTAACTTGACTTAAGTGTTGGGTTTATAGTCCTAAGTTGAACAAAGTAACTGGGTTATTGTTGGGCCGATGATACTTATAGCTAGAGGTTGATGGGATTGTAAACCAGCAACGAACATGACTGGGGGCCTCTTTTCATTCTTGAGGCGAGGTAAACTCGTTTTGTGTGCCAAAGATCAACAAAGTGGACAAGCGCCGCTAGTTACCGCTAGTCACATCATGGGGCCACCAAAGGATTCACACAGATGGTTAAAAACAATAGCGTCTTGTTCGAAAAAAATGTTGCACAGCCAAAAATCGCTAGTGATGGGTATGAGATGGTAGAACTCTGAGTCTTGTTTCACCTAATATGTGTTTTCTTGTTTCAGGGGAGGCTGAACATCTCGTACGCCGGCAAAATTGTAATGTCACAAATACAGATAGTCCAGTTCAGGCAGGAAAGCATCGTTTTGGTGTGTTGCTTGAACTAAGGATATAGTAACTGGTTGGTGGTTTGGAACATGGCTTTTATGACTTTCCATTCAGTTGGGAATGTCATGATCCCAACTGACGAACTCATATTTTTCAGACTGATTGAAACCACCAACCAGGTAAGTTCCTATTGTTGGTACTAGGACTACTTACTAGGATATGTGTACGATAGTTTTGTCGTTGGCTCCGGCGTCGCGTTCCGTCGCGTAGAGCAGGGCAACGGAAAATCCGGCATTGAATATCTGTTCATTATGTTCAAGTCATATTCTCTACTATCAATGGTGGATTTTGTTCATTGATTCATTGTTCTGTTTGATTGCCAGAGGAGAATAAGGGCTCATTAATCAGCAACAGCCATAAAAGTACCCTCTGGTAAACTAACAAAAGGCTGTTGAACATGGCCATAGAAATGGTGAATTCACCCATTAATAGCATGGTGATGTTCCATCGTTTTTTGTATGCTTACCAGAGGGTAATGTTAAAGTAAGGCTTTGTTGACCAGCGGGGTCACCCTCAAGGAGCCTTCGGTTCGGAGGTGTTTGTTTGGAAGTCTACCGACTCAAATCTTTCGTGCGGTTCAAATACTTCCCAATAGGTCTCTGTATTTCATACCTATTTATACTTACCTATAATCTATTCTATTCTTTGCATGTGTGTTTAGATTACTTACCCTTAGTGGTTTCTGAATCCCAGCATTTTTTTTCTTCCATATTGGTTTGTAAGAATTTGCCTTAAAGAAGGTAGTGCAATCCCAGCAACCATCAACCAGACCGCCAGACCGAGGTTTGTTTGGACATCCGTATGGAGTAGCTGGGCGAAAATCGCTCTGGTTGATTGGTAACTTCGGGAGTTAAACTACCTGTGTTGTTTTTGGGATTGTGAACTAACTTTCTACAAAACCCATAGTCACTAGACTAAGTTTCTTGTTGAACAATGTTTTTTTCATGGTTTTTCATATGTGAAATTGTTGGTTTTCAAGGGCCAATGGTAGATGTTTGGATATTTTTAGTTGGATGACCAATAACACAATCACCAGCAGCCAAGGCATGTTGCAATCCTTTCCTTGCTTTGATCCCATGACAATCAATCAATCAACCAATCAATCAATCGATGACAACATTATCATGGTTGTTTTTCTCCCATTGAAACTGTGGGTGCATATCTCTCTACATTACTATAGTATCTAATGTAATGTAATGAAATGTAATGTAATCTTATGGTATGGTATGGTATGATCTGTATTTGCGTACATATATATATATATATACATATATGTGCCCACTGTATGGCCAATATATCCCCATCCCAATGACACTAGGTAGTTTGTTCCCAATTACACGCAGTGATTGTTACTTGGGGGTGCATCCCACCCTGACACACTACTCTGACATAGTTTTGGACACACAGAATGTCAGAATAAGTCAGATAGAATGACAGAATAGATGCCGGAAAGAATGTCAGATAGAATGTCAGAATATACGTAAGAAAGAATGTCAGAAAAATGCCAGAATATACATATATATATATATAAGCCATATATATATATATATGGCATACATATATATATATATATATATATACTCCCAGATTTTGGCATTCTAGCTGGCTTAATTTTGGGTCCAGGCGCCCCCCACAGCATCCGGAGCGCGTTTTCAACGGTGTTCGGGTCTAGGCGACCTTCTGCAGGTGGAATATCCCACTGATATTTGGGATGTATGGATTAACCACTTACTAAGCGGAATAATAAATAAATATATATATATATATATTAATGTTATACGTATATAACCTGAACACCCCCGCTTATTAACGTATATATATATATATATAATAGGTTAGTTATACACAATGGCGACTAAGTGGGGCCCGCACATCGAAGTAGGAAGTCGCCATTGCCACAGGAAGGCGACGGTGCGTAACTTGAAGATCACGCAGGAAAGTGCCTTGGTTGTCCGAGATGCTCCGTTGCTCCAACAAAATGGGGGATATGTGGGTTGGTTTATCATGGAAAAACTTACCCGGCCTGGTAAACTATACAAAAAACTATTTAAAATCACCATTTATAGTGGATTTACCCAATAAAAATGGTGATTTTCCATAGTTTTTTGTATGTTTACCAGAGGGTAAAACCAACAACGGAAAAATCCATGATGATTACTGGGGGTCCCATGACTTAGGAAACCTCCAGGATTTTTTCTCCGGTCAGACGTGGCTGGCTGGAGGTTTTATCAAAGAATCTCTATAAATGGAGGTTTCTAGCTGGGAAAATCAATGATAAGTGGAAACTTTTACGAACAAAATCCAATCATGTGGTTGAACTATAACGACCTCACGTCGCGACGTGAATGGAATGATGGAGATTGAATTGGGGTAACTATACCCAAAAGTGCCTATTCTCAGGTTGGTGAGTCATTATGATTGGCCAGACTCATTGATGCCCCTGGTTTCCTTGAAGTTGCTTCATGACTAGCTTAACGAGTGGATTTATGGTAGATTATGTATGGTTAGATGGGTTTAGTGACCAACTTATCACTGAGGGGGCGCAGACAAACCATGCGGGATTGATGGTGTATTGTCAAGTGCAGCAATACATGATAAATCAATATAAATCATAGATTCTGGTAAGTACAAATTGTCTTATATGATACTTATATGCAATATGTGGGTGTTTCGCAATAGTGGGGTACCTCCAAAGTCATATACTGGTTGGTGGTGTGGAACATGAATTTTATTTGTCCATATATTGGGAATAATAATCCCAACTGACGAACTCACATTTTTCAGAGGGGTTGAACCACCAACCAGTATATATACCCTCTGGTTATTTAACATGCCATGGAAAATGGCCCATTTATAGATGGTTTACCTGGGTTTACCTATTAAAAATGGTGATTTTCCATGGCTATGTTAAATAACCAGATGGTGTAATCTATATATATATGCATTATATAAGCATGACAAGTCTTGGATGGTTTGGGTGAAACCCACCATTTTTTTTAAACCCCCAATGGAGAAAAAGAACTCCCCCTGTGGACAGACATATGATTCACCTGTACGGAAAGGTGTATATATATATATATGTATGTATGTATGTATGTATGTATGTATGTATCTATGTATGTATGTATGTATGTATGTAATGTATGTATGTATGTAATGTATGTATGTAATGTATGTATGTATAATGTAATGTAATGTATGTAATGTAATGTAATGTAATGTAATGTAATGTAATGTAATGTATGTAATGTATGTAATGTATGTAATGTATGTAATGTATGTAATGTATGTAATGTATGTAATGGATGTAATGTATGTAATGTATGTAATGTATGTAATGTATGTAATGTATGTAATGTATGTAATGTATGTAATGTATGTAATGTATGTAATGTATGTCATGTATGTCCTGTATGTCTGTATGTCTGTATGTCTGTCTGTC